TCCTTATTCATCCCATCTTTTCCTACCCCCGTGCTATGGCTTGATATCTGCCTAGCTATCCCTCCTTTGGTATGTTTCCATATATTGTGAAAATGACAAATTTACTGTGAGAGACTGAATGGTCTCATGTTTCCTTTATAGAAGTTATCTTTTTCTAAACCTACATATACATGGAAACTATATGACTGAGTTTAAATGTCCTAATTTAAATTAGATATGACTTCTCCTGAATGTCAGTCACTATACTTTCCCCAGTCTTTTATCTTTGTTATTTTTTTTCTTCCAGTGGAACAACTGGAATTTTTTCTTTCGAATTTCATCTTTAGATTCTTTCTTGCTTTCTTCATAATGACATCTTTCATTTGGTGGCGATGAAGCATCATAATTAGGTTCAAGAAGTTTTGAGGCCCAAGCACAGGGAATGCTGTGCTGGGTGCTCCGACCAGTTTCATTTTTCCCAACAGGCTCAGATTTAACAACTGTATAAGCAAGGTTTCACATAATGGAGCAGGCTTCCTCCTTTATGTTTCCAGGTGATTCTTACTTCCACATTGATTTTTCTCACATTATTCCCTGTATCAGCTATCGAAACCTTCATTTCTCTCTTTCTCCCTGCCTTTCTCCTTCTCTCCTCTTTGCATCTCTTTGCTTTCCAGCACACCTCTGTGACTGTGCAGCTTCATCCCATATCACCCTGTACACATTCTCTCTCCCTCCTCCCTCCCATCCCTCTGGATCTTCCAGATGATTAGCTTTCTTGGCAGATTCACGGATGCCAAGTAATTTATTTGGACTTTAAACTCAGAGATCAATTGCCTGATGTCTGCCTTGGTACTACGTTGATTTTATTCATCTTTGGCATCCTTGCCTGCTGCTTTCTTATCCTGTGTACCTGAAGTGGTCACCTTAGAGATTTAAAACGTACATATCTTTTTTTAAGCACTGTGCTACCATATTCTCTGCAATGGTCTGTTTGTTTTCTTGGAAGGGATTGATAGGCTTGAGGGGTAGGAAGAAAGGAGGTCATGAGGTTGATTTTCCATGTCTCAGGCTTCAGGCAGCCATCTCACACTACCCCCTTAGCCACATGGATTCCTAACTTCCATGTGTGAGCATGTGTGGGGGATGTGACACTGCCCTTCAGTTGTATAGTTCATTTTGTAGCTTTTATTAATTCACTGAAATCCCTAAGGAACTGTGTTGGTTTTTGTAGTAGTCTGATGAACATGTGGCTTAGCTGCTTATTGTTTTATTCGCCCAATCTACCAACAATTATAGAAAAGCCGTGTTAGAAAATGGCATGTAATGAACAGTGAGCATATAGGACATGCGGTTTTATGCCAGCTTGGGATAGCTGATACTAAAAATGTGTAGAAACATATACTTACAGATAAAAGGCATTTGCATAAGACTACATGCCCATTTTATTGGAGTTTTTAAAAGGTTGTGGGGGTTTTTTTTAAATGCATTTGCATGTCTTTTTCTACCTGAAGAAAAATGTTCACCTTTTACATGATAAACAGCAGTGAAAATGTCCACAGGACAGTGTAAAAGCCCCACAGGAAGCAAAGATTTGCAGTTTGCTGGGAACTGTCTGATGTGGGTGTGATATGTTTTGCTTGTCACCTGGAACTTCAGAACCCCAGATCTTGGATTTTGTCCATTCTGGTCCAGAGTCCCAAGGTCAGAAAGATGATGTTGTCCAGCTGTCCTCCTGTCACTGCCACCTCTCCGCTGAAGGCAGGCTAAAATGCATATACCCTCACTCTTAAGATTTAGCCATGCCAGTGACTGTATCTGCCTGCACAATGCTCTCTGCTCACCTGTGGAGTCCACTGGCTTTCCTCTGGCATTCATGAAAAATGTGACACACTGATTTTTTTCAGTCTAAGACTCAGCTCTCCCAGCCTTATGTGTTTAGCCTTCTGTTTGCTTGCAGAGAGACACATGTAAGCCAGGAACGTAGTAAATTTTACAAAATACTGATTTTGCAAGGAGAGGGAAATTATTTTACTGATTAGATATTAACAATGAGCATGTATATTACAGCAGTAGGTTTATAAATACACAGATGTATTGCTGTCTGGTAGGAGGCTTTGTGGAAGAAAACCATTCCCTTCCTTGTGCCATGATCTGACATCTGCATGCACACAGAGATCTAGATCAGCACGTTTGCAATGTTGTCTGCAGAAAATTTTGCTTTAATTAGTTAAACAAAGTGCATTGTTGTACTTCATTATTTTTAATCTGTCTTTAAAACTGAAATACCCAGGTAGTTAACGGTGGTGTACGTTTCCTTTAAAAAAGCATAAATGTTCTACCCAGAATATTTGCACTCTCAGGATGACTGAAGTAGATGTAAATGACCTGGCATAGTAAGTTTCTCTCTTCATGGTATATGTACAGGTTTCACATATTTCCTTATCATGTGAGACTGCCTTTTTGAATTAATTCCTTTTGTATCTCACACAGCTGCCTAACTCCTTGCAGGCACACACACTCTCAGCCCTTCCCCAGACATCTGTTCTGTTTCTTAGTACCAGGTGCCAGAGTTTAAGCTTGTTGGGAGGAGGGACAGGAACAAAATCCTTTAAAAATTAGGTAGCAGTGATATTTTTAATGATATTTGTGATGGAATTTCATTTTTAGCCTCTGGCTGTCAGCAAAGAGCAGGTTGAATAGCGTGAGACGATTCCCTTTCTTAGTCTGGGAACAACCACAGTCATCTACTCTGCTCCTCGCTCTGAACTTGTTGGAAGGAACTGTTATGGTCATCCAGTTGCAGGCTTTCCTCTGAGTTGTGGTCTAACCTTAGAGAAGCAGAATACAGCCTGATATCTTTCTCTGCCATTCCCTACCATCTGCCTCATTTTCCTCTCACCCTCTTGCACGCATAATGCATCAGAAACATGGCCAGGCTGCTTCTGTTTTCTGCCTTCTCATGCAGCCACCTGTCTGCTCGTCTCCCTTTTCTCCATCAGGATAGGGAATATGTAATGTAAGTGATAAGCCTGGAAATGTGGAATAAATGGATTTATATCAGTGTCTACAGGCTGGGTGATTGATCATATGGTATTAAATACACTGAGTCCACATTGGGTAAGGGAAAATCAGGAAGGAGGAAAGAGGAGTTTAAGTTGCTCTTTCTTCCTCTTTCTTCTCACCTCTCCCCAGGCATGTCAGCTACTTACTGTTCTAGTCACTGAAGACACAGAAACTCTTTGTGGCCCTTAGTACTCCTACAGAGGCTTGAGAGAAAACTCTGCATCTTCCAGTGTATTTCCCACTGGCAAAAATGTCAGGAGTGGTTTGGCCACTCGCAGGCTCAGGCTGAAGTGAGAAGCTTCAGCAATCAGATGATTGACTTTCTGGAATGGTCTTAAGATAGTACTCACAGGGCAAAATGTGTAACAAGGGGAAATTTCAGTGAGCAAATTTAAGGCAGATAGAGCGGAGCACTTTTTTCCACACTAATAATGAACATGTGAGACCAGAACTTTTGCAGACCAGATGTATGGATTCAAGAAGGCGTTAGACATATTCTTGGAAGAGTGGTCTGCCAATGGCTTCTGAAAATGTGGATCTGGATGCAGTCTCCCAGAATACCATGACTGCTGGCAGCTCAGCAAGTCCATCAGGAATCACTACATACATGTTTCCTGTGCTCTTTCTTTAAACGTTGCTGTCGATTGCTCTCACGCATAACATGTTCAACTAAGGTGGGCTTCACTTTAGTCTAGTAAAGCGCATAGTGGCTCTTAAGATGGAGCTTAATCAATGGGTGAAACAGTCTGCATGATAGTTCCTCCAGTGTTTTTAGGGGAATGATCCCATAGGTCCCTCCAATAGTTTTGTCCCATGCCTGAGCAATCTCCACAAGGGTACAATAGCCTACCACCTTAATGAAACACTGCTGTACACTCTGAAACACAAAATGGTTGTCCCTAGGAGTGCTCATTAGCCAGTGCCCGAGCATGGCAATTTTTTGGGAAGCTCGAAGATGCAAAGCTAATACGGTTATTAGAGAGGATGGGTAACAAAAGGGATGGTTACTGAGAGGCACGATGTCTGTTTAAGGGTTTTATGCTCTATGAGTTAAGCCTGAAAAGGACGAAACTGAATAAGGAGTCGCTAAGCCTTTTCTGCTGTGAAATTTGCCTGCCCTTGGTAATATTCCTTCCTGCCCCCATTTTTGTTTGTACTGATAAATTTCCTTGCATTAATAAACTCATAATGCATCTTGTTTATCCCTTCAAAGCCAGCCCTTGCAGCTTGCATTAGCATTTTAGGATATTTATGGCTTTGTAGATGACTGAAAATCTGCAATTTGTCATTAGGAATTAAGAAAAATCTTCCTTCTACTGTGGGCTGAAGCTCAGCTTTGGCCTTTGAGGGACTGAGCCACCTCTGGGCCTCATAGACAAAAACAAAGTCAGACAGTGCCCAGATTTACAACAGCAAGTGGTTTTTAGTTATTCAGATGTCTTTGATAATGTGTCATCTGCTGTTGCTGGCAGGGATCAGTGTTTAGGCTCAGAATTAATTTCTCTCTAGCTGGAGAGAAAACAAAAATATCCCTTTTGCAAGAGCAAAAAGAGAGAGCGGTAGTAACAAGGAGAGAAATGAAAACAGCACAAGGCACATGTAAAAAATACATGCATATACATATGTATCTCATATACACACTGCAAAGGTTAAAGTGCTGTTCACAAGAAAACGTCATTTTTCACTCTGCTGTACTCTGTACTTTCAACTTTGAAATACAGGAAGTTAAGAAAATGTTTTAAGGTTTCAAAAAGGAATTTATCTTGTAATTGGTGAAGGGCTAGAGTTGGATGGGGAGCGATAATAATCAAAGGAGCCTTTTCAACACTAAACTGTAGTCCAGAAAATCAAAGGGAGGAATGTTAATTGGTTTGTACAACATGATATTCTCATTTCAGAGTAGCTTCAGCCACTCAATGGTACTTTTTTTCTTTTTTTTTTCTCTCTCTCTGTAGGTTGATTAAGTGAATAGAAAAAATAAAAAAGAAAAACGAAGCTACTTTCAAGTATTGAAGATACAAGACCAGGATGAACACGAAGGACGGAAAAGTGTCTGAAGGAGGTCTCAATGTCACGCTTACCATACGCCTTCTCATGCATGGCAAGGTGAAGCATTTACTGTGTGTTGAGTGAGTTTGTGCAGTTACCATCAGAGCCTGAGAGTAACATTGACAGAGGGTCTGCTCCTCCTCCGACTTGAGTCAAAAGCACAGTTGCCATGACCAAGAAATCACCCCCTGCCTTTCAAGGGATCCTGCTAAAGTTCACACTGCAGCCCAAGTTCATTGAAACAAACCCTGCCTGTAACAAACTCGTTTTGAGCAGATCCGGCGGCAAAAAAGGAGTTCTTTCACTGATAGTTAGCCAAATTGGGCAGACCCTTGCACAAGGCTGACTTGCATACAGCTCGCCTTTCTCGTCATTTGCTGGGTTTTGCAGGGGTTTTTTTGAGATACCAGAACGTTGACTTGTGTGAAATAATTGCGACAGAGTTACTGTCCATTTCCGTTGAATGCAAATAGGATAGTTCTTCATTATTCTGATGTAACATGTTATTAGAGTGAACCCCCTGATATGCCAAGTGTTTGTCCAGGTCCCCTGTGGGTTTGTTTTGGAAGACTGAGTGTCATTTTGTGTCTGTCCAGCACAGCACTTAGGCATGCAGATAAGTGTGAAATCTGTGCCACAGACTAAGTGCCAGTTCAGTATTGTCAGACTTAACAGTCTGATCACTGCTTATTTCACATTGCCAGATCACAAAATGGGCTTTTAATTAAAAAACACATTTCATAGGTTTGTTTGTAATATTTGCATCAGGCAACACCAGGCTTAGTGAATGAATGTTATATAAAGGAGGTGGTTTGGGTGCTTTCTTAACAGGGAATAGTAAACATATATATGTATTAATCTGGAGATTAAATTTATATATAGAAATCTAAAGAAGTATTTTTACTCCTAGAATTTAATTTTAAAACTAACATACTTTTACATTTTAAAATAGCGGAGGTTTTTAACCTATAGCATGAACACACGTATGATTATTCATAGCACAAATTGGAGACTAAGGTATCTCCCTCTGTATTTTACTTATGAAAAAGTGTGAGGGGGTACAGCTTAAGTTTGCAAGTTAAAAACCTCAGAAATTAGGTTATGTCAGATCAAATTATGTTTTTTCTCAGAAATGATCTAACCATTTTGTTTGATTTTTTTTTTCCCCTGAAATATTCAGCTTCAGGCAGGCATCTGGTGTGTAAATCTGCATCTTAAATAGGGATATGTCAAACAAATTTAATAACACTCTCTCTCTTACAAAACCCACCTAAAATCTGTACACGTGTCTGTGCTCAAAATTAGGTCTTAGGGATTGATTCTCTTGGGTTCTGGTCCCAGTCTATGAAAGCATTTGAACACATGGTTATCCCACTGGGTATAAGCAGCCCTACGGGTTGCAGTCAAATTCCCATGTGTTTAGGTGTGTTTTGTTTTTTGTTTTGTTTTGTTTTGTTTTCAACCACTGTCTGACAGCTCTGCTTCTTTCAGGATCATGTGTAATTTTCAGGATGTTTTCCTTAAACAGTGGGTCAGGATTATTAGGGTTTTTTAAAATCAGAAATGAAATCATATAATGCTTGTTTTCTCTGTTAAACATCATTGATTGTGTGTGCAACCTCTTATAACAATAATGGATATTATGTGTCCAGTCTTCTATGAATATGTAGCCCCAACCCATAAAAGCTACCAAGTTCAAGTTTTGACTGGAACTATACCATGCATCCGCACTTAACAAGGCATGGTGGGTATACTACTAGCTCCACTGTGCTCTAATCATGTATCCTGTTGTGCCTAAGTATTGCAAAGAGTACATTAAATCAGAATTTATTTTGGTGATAAAAGTCAGACCCTTATGGTTTCTTTGATGTAATTTCTATGATTTAGGAGTAATAATACAGAGGAATGAAGGATGTCTGAGTCAATATGAACTCAGTGTGAGAAGACACTCTAAAAGCTGTATGTGCCTCTGAAAAAGAAGAAACAAGTTTCTAGACTCTTCCTCAAGATTTGTTGTGGTAATGATATCAGTGGAAATTGCTGATCTCTAATTAGTATTTCTAGACAAAACAATTAGCTGAAGCAGAGCTTGGTTTGTAAATAACTGGTCAAAGCTTGAGAGAGAAGAGGGGAAATAAAAGGTTTTTAAAAATAACAGTAGCAAACTGGATTCAGTTATTTTTGAATTAAGCTAATTTTAAAGTTACTTATTTATTGATGTCTTTCATGGAAATATGAGGGTCTCTCCCCACTATCCTTAACTCTCTGTCTGTAAACCTTTATTACCAGTGTACCTTTGCATAGGGAAGTTCTATGTGTTTTGTGATATTTACATTCATTTTGATTGAAAATCCATAACTTGTGCTTGGTTATCTCAGCTGTAAATCCTGCAGACTTAGGAAATTTTCAGTGTGTACTTTTAACGTGACTTGTGTAGAGGCATAATGTCAAGGATGGACATCTTAATTAGGCAATTAAGGTAAATGCTATACCTGCAGACAAAAAAATTACAATTTGTATGAATGGACAGACCTCTGCAAGGTGGCAGGGAATTAAAAAGCAACAACAGCAAACAAAATAAGTAGCAAAAATAAAAGACATTAGTGTCTAGTGAAAGGAAAACAAATCGGAATAGTCCTGAGGTCTGGGAGAACCCAGGGCCAGTGCCTCCCCAATGCAGATAGGACACAACTCATCAGCACCTCTGCTTTGTCTTGCTTTGACAGAAGAAGCAGTTGTAGGGCCAGCTGAGTTCCTGCAGAGTTTTGTGCAGCCTCTGACTGAAAAGGCTGGGAGGACCAGCTCAGCTGCTCACCCACAGTGTAGCAAGGTTTGGGAGTGGCCAGCTGGCAACAAGGCAAGGCACAGCCATGATATTCTCAGAAAACGTGGTGTTAAGGAAGGGCAGCAATTGTTTTATCTATGGGCAGCAATTGTTTTGTCTATGGGCTTGTGTGGGCCCTGCAGAAAGCTAACCACTGCAAGGTATAAAAGGGCAACCTCAGGGTAACCTCAGTGTTTCCAGGGTCTGATATAAAAGGTGTCCTCCTCAGCCAGGACTTCAGAGATTTTGTGATGATGTAAGCTGAAAGGCCTAGTTTTCATCTTGTACCATGTTAGATCAGTAAAAAATTTATGATAGTTTGACAGCCCTGAAGAGAAACCAGGAGCAGCACAAAACATTTGTAATACTTTCTTGCAGTGAATTAGAGGGCAGGTGTTAGGGAGGATACTACAAGGGCAGCGCTCAGGCGTTCTTTGCATCTGCAGAGAAGCAACTGTCAGTGTTTGCAGGAATTATTAAAAGCAAGATTAGGAAAAACTTGTTAGGTGGATGTGTGAGGAGGGGAGGAGGCTGTCTGGGCACGCTGCAGCATCCATCACTGAAGGTTTCTAAGGACAAGTTAGACAAAACTGAATTCATCCTGTAAAGCTGCCATGGCACTGCAGCCTTTTCTGCTTGGGACCTTTTTGACTGAGTTACCTGAATGGTGCTTCATAGAGGTCAGGAAGAGGAGAGCCTTTTGAAGCATATGCAGAAGTTGGATATATAGAATATACTAAATAATGCAGATATGCGTTCTCATCTTTTATTAATGAGAAAGATGTACCCCATTAAGAAATAAAGCTGTTTAATGGATTTCAGTAGAGAAAAACAGAGAATATGGATTGGAGCTATTTACAGTGCCTACTTCTGTATTTTCCATCTAATTCCTCCTGTTTCTTGAAGTAAAGTAAGTAAAACCTCTGTGTAGGACAGAGACGTGAATGGATATGGGTATTTTGTTTTCTTTTGTCTACTTCAAAAGTAGGCAGGATTGGAATATTGCAGGGATTGCAAGATTTCTGCTTCCAGCAAAGACAGTATTTACCCAGATCAGATCAACATTTTTGAAGGACTTAAGGAAGACAAACTGAGTGTATGCTGTCAGAGCCCTCTGTATGGAGAGGCAGAGCTTGGACCCCAAAAGAACTGTGTCTTTTTATTCCTTTTTAAATTTTTGTGAAAATAGAAATTCTTTTGGCTCTCAGCATACATGTAGAGAGAGAGAGCAAGCTCCATGTTTCTCTCTTGCCATTCCTTGCTCACCTTTTGCTGAATTTTCTATTCCCATGACTTGTGGCTGTTTTTTTAACTTGCTTACTGCCACAGGTAATGAAGTTGGAAGACTGTGGAAAATTGTAGCCTTGCCCACAGGTATCTGCCAACATACCTTAGTACTTGACATCTGCAATGCTCTTGTTCTGATTTTGGTCAGTTCATGCTCAGAAAGAAATAACACCTACTTTGCCTATACTGGATAATGATTACATGAATTTGGAGTGGTTGGGTTTTGTAGGCAGTCAGTGTTAACAGACTGGTTAAGACCCTAGAGACTCACCATTAAAGGTTAATTTTAGATATGGATGGTAAGAGACTGTGCTGGTAGAAAGATCTTAAATCTCAGGAAAGTAGCTTAATGGAGGTTTAAAACCCAGGTCCATGAGGTGGAACCCGAGAAAATGTTCAGATGGACCAGCATAGAAAAGCCAGCAGGGTCACAAATCCAGTCCATCTGTCTCCATCTCATAGTGGTGGCACAGGAGTCTCTGCTTCTTTCTGCCAGTACAAACCTGCAGAAGAAATAATGCATTGTTTCCAAAGACACTGTGTGAACATGAGCATTGATGAAACTGCTTACTGAAGACTGTAAGAAACTGAAGTAGAATATGGTAATGTATGGCATCTGAGGAATCTTTGAGAGAAAGGGAATGGAATTCAGAAATAAAAAAACTAAAATGAATTAATGAAGTTGGATGGTTAGGAAGAACAAGGAAATAATTTACAAGTAGGATGAAGGAGGGAAGGGAAAGCTGGCAGGGAAGCAGGAATCTTGCCAAATACTGAGAGGTGTAAATTAGCGAGTTGAGGCAATTAACTGGAGAAGGTAATTTAGAAGATACATGTTCAGTGACAGGAGGAAATCTGGAAAGCATGAAAAGTTGAAAAGCATCAGATGTGGCAGTGTCTAGAGAGTGGCACATCTGGGATATGTGAAGTTGGAGAGTAAAGCTAT